CTCTTAACTCCAGCATGTTATTCCTCCAGATTAACACTAAAAGTAGGCAAAAGTTGTGGTTTTTAGTCTCAAAAATATTAAAGCTAGACATAAGGACAAAGTGACAAAGCTAAGAACTACAGAGTATCAAACACTAAGGAGAAATTGTGAATGTAGACTTAAAATTGAACAACCACAAAAAATCCAGCTATGTTCACCTTCCACAATCTTTAAAAGAACATAAAGCTGCTGCCACAGTTTGCTCGGTATATTCTGACATACCTAAAATGGTTTTATTTTCCATTAAAAAATGGAGATTGCTTCAAAAAGTACCAACTGTATCATTTATGATGCACTCCATCCCCCATAAATAAAAACATGGTTTGTAAAGATGTCTGAACAGACAGGGACAGTTTTTGGGTGGTTTTTTTCTCTGTACTGTCACAGTTACAGTGGAATAAAAATAACACTTTGACACAACAAAGGTGGACAATTCACCCACTTTCACTTTTGATTCTTATTCCATCATTTGGAGTGATTAGAGTGTGGATAACTCTAGGTTGTGGTTTTGCATTATTAAGCCATAATTTCAATACCCAGCAATGAGGCAAGAACATATGTTGCAGTTCATTTTAAAGATCTGGTTAAGCAGTAAATCAACTAGTCTTCCTACTTAGGACTATAAAGTTTGTTTGGAACCATTACATCCAATTAAGCCTAATGTCACAAATTTACATCATACCAAAATTTGTATCAATTGCATGGATTATTTGTAAATTAACAATATTAACATATTAATGCTTAATGCAGTAAATACTTGCCAATAAAAACAATACATTGATAATATATTGATATTATTATCTTTGCACTGGCCTCCTGTCTGGAAAATATGACTTTTTAAAAATGTAAGGTCTGATGCCTACATAAAGATTATTTACTTGTCCTATGTATTTAATTCCATTTTCATCCGTTACTTTTTGTGTTACTTTTTAAATTTACCTCTTTTTATGTGTAGCACTTTGTTTGTCCTCATATCTGAATACTGTTAACTGACTGGCCTTCCCAGTAAAATTTTAAATAAAAGGAATTTTAATTAAAATATGGAAATGAGCAGCAGATATTTTACCACATATTCTAAAACACTGACTGCATTAGTTATGTCTTTATTAGTTACACAATATAAAGTGCCTTTTACAAAATTTTATGGGATTTAATAGTGTTTTGCATTTACTGGAAGACATGTTTCAGTCTTTTGCAGCTTTGTTTGCTTTTTTTCCTCACCTTTAATTTGAAGCAGCAGTAAGAGTGACTAAATCCTGGAAATCAGTCGTCTTGCAGTGTTGCCTTTGAATGCTTCACCGAACATCCTAATTAAATCCATTCCTTTTTTCTCCAATAGCTTTCATAGTTTTATTGAAGTGACATCTGTAAAAAAAAAAAAAAAAAAAAAAACGAAAAAAGTTTTGTTTCACTAAACTGTAAGCTTTGAAAAATGCTTAGAAGGTGTCCTATTCCCTCCTTTAAGTCCAATTACAGAACTAATCCAATTATAAAACTTCCAGAAACATTCAGCTATGAATTTATTTTATTAAGTTACAGGCAGAAACATTTATTAAACAGACTAAAGCTTTTCTGTAAGTAACAGGATTTTAGCCAAAATATGACATGGCATCTTGCATATGAATTAAATTTGTTTTGATGTCTCAACTCCCACTCAAATTAAACAGCAAGCATGACTGCAACATAATGTGTTCTGTCAGATGCATTTTCAGTCTTTTGAATGACAGACCATCAATATGTCAGTTTCTTAAAGTACATTTGGATGTTTCCTTACAGGCGCAACATTTTTTTTTATTTGGTTATTTTACTCACATCATTTCAGGATGAATGAATATGAGTAAAGAAGAACAGAAAGAACAGCATATTATATGGATGAAGATGTATTACATACAGACTGCTCAAAAGGATACAAGCCTCTTCCCTCAATGCCTGACATCTAGTCAGACTAGGTTTTCCTGTTTTAAGTTACGGTAGTCAGAATGATCAAAATTGTTACTCTTTGCCAGACAGATTCTTTTACTTTTTCAAATTGAGACAGTTGGTAGAACTGTCCTTTAAGTTGATTTGTGTAGGTTAAGCGTTTGCTGGAATTTTCTCCCATTCCTCCTCATAGAACCAGGGCGGCCATGTTGAGGCTTATAGCCTCTATATATGGAGAGTCTGCTGATTTATTCTCAATTAATTCCTTCTTAAGTATACTGTGTGTAATTTAATTTAAACTGCTCCCTGAATGTAAAACAATAATATCCATAGAAAATAAAAGAAATTGTAGACTTTAGGCCACAGATGTAATTGATCTACCAAAGGTTTTGCTGCCAAACATTAGACCTTGTGGAACCAACAGCAGAAAATTCCGTCTCACATCCCATGAGCCTCTAAGCTCATTAGTCCAAACCGATCTGTAAAACTTAATGTTGTAAACTAAAACAAACAATGAATAGGGAGACATTTTATCACCGTTAGTGTGACATTAACTAAAATAACACAGGGTAGATGTCATAAATTCACCCTGATTCAAATTTTTATTGATTCTCATCTATAAAAGTAAAACAATACAATGCATCTCTTTGCTTTTGTCAGATGATTGCTGGGTTGTAATACAAACAGATATGACTGAAGTCAGCATTTGTAACTGTCCAATCAAAAAGTGGTGCAGTGTAAAATTTTGAAGAGTTTTTCCAAATAAAGATATTGTGAGATTTGGGTTATAATCTGTGAAAATGTTGCCTTTCTGTGACCCTCCAAGCTGTTCTCTTCATTAAATCCTCTCTTCTTCTTTTTGAGAACTGCAAAAAACGATCCATACCGCTCAAACTTTTCCACACCGTCACACCCACAAACCTTCATGCATTTTACTGGGATATGATATGAAAGATTAAAGTAGTGTATGATACAGCTGGGACATAGTGGTTATTTTATACTGTGGATAGAACAAAATAATCTGATCAGATCAGGCCCAAATGGAATCTAATTTTCTTACATGCAAAACACTGAAGATAAAAATAACACTGCACAGCACTGCTGTCCCCAGTGTGATGCTGTGGGCATGTTTTTCATCAGCATGGACAGGACAACTCATTAGCATTGATAGGAAGATGGATGGAGCTAAACTCAGGATGATCTGGAAGAAAACCTGTTAGAAGCTGTTAAAGACTTCAGAACCCCACAGTTTGTAGGTTTTACATTGAATGGCTCTGGGCAGTACGTTTTACTACAGGATTTCTTAGTCTTGGTACCTCCAGAGCAGAGTTGGTGTACACTGATCAGTTGACAAAGTCCCTTCCTCAGAGAGTCTGAAATGATTACTGTGAGCTCTGTGAGGAAACAGATTAATTCTTTTCTCCCACTGACAAGATCACAGCAATGGCTGCAGTCGGCCAGATCTCGGATCCCTGCTGTGAGCATCTCAGGAGTTAGAAAAAAGAAAGTGTTGAGGTTAGAATCAGCATCCTTTAAGGATTTGTCCCTGCACAGCCTGTACCCATGAGCCTTATATTTAACTAAAAGAAACTGTTCACTGCAGGATTGCACAGATGGGCTGTTGATATCTGAAGGCAGCTAGAGGAATAAGTCATGTCACAGACATTTTGCCTTATAATGATAAACAAATAAGAACTCAGAACACAGTGATATATACCACATTTGGACATGGACACCTAAAAATAATCTCCATTTACTCCAATTTTGATTAAACCAATGACTCAATAACTGCAACACAATTCAAGGAATTCAAGCAATTATCTGCTTTACCACAGATAATTACACCACAGGCCACTTTACACCATCTTCTCCAGAGGTTCCATTTCAGTTCCCAGGACAGAACCAGTGTAGCATCATTGGCTGAATAATGGCCAGTTGCAATGATGGTTCATAACATTTGTGTAATGAAAATGCCTTCCTAACAATTTTGTGTTGAACACTATTAGTGGAATTTTAGAAAATATTCTTTTTCATATTTTGCATAGCCTGGGGAAAAAATAACTTCCTTTTGCAGCCAGCTTCATTCATGTGAGGTTTATTGTATTTTTCACCCCACTGGAACACAACAGGGTAAAGAAAGATGTGCATTCACCATCCAACTATCCATTTATTTGATGTAATGTAGAAAACAATATTTTCTATTTATTTTTTATTCTCATTTGCTATTGCTAATGTTCCAACAACTCCTTTTGGGTTGATTATTAATCTTAACTCCTTAGATTTTTATTCATATATCCTGCTACTAATTTGTTTAATTTTATTTCAGTTTTATTATTGTTGATTTTCTTTATCATAGTCAATCACATATGGAACAAGTTTCCTGTATGATCTAAACAGTGGATTGATACTGGCATTTTAGAAAATAATTTATTTTAATACTTTGCATAACCTGGCGGCATGACCTTTTGCAGCAACATTTTTACATTCATGAGAGGCTTATTGTATTTTTCACCCAACTGGAACCTACGGAGGGTTTAGATAGTAATGGAGCTATCCTCCATTTTCAAAGTTTCAAAGTTGTCAACACCAAAATGCTGAGCCATAAATGTTGGTTCCCAGACTCCCTGAGAGAAACTTTATGAAAACCAAAACATAAGTTGAGCAAATCAGACACTGAGCATGTCTGCTTGCTGTTCTCATTCTTGCAAGAATTAGAAGTGTTGTTTTAAGTAAAAATCACCTCTCATCTCTGCTTGGTAACTCAGAGTGACAGCTCATTAGGGCATTTTTTCTATTCATTTTAATAGTTTCCACTATCAAACATATTGTAATGCTACAAAGAAAAATAAAACAGAAGCATCAAACTACTTTTGCTCTTACACATTAACAAATGCTCCATGTAGAGTCACTTTAGGTCATACTAGGCATGAGATGCATCTTTCACAATAAAACAATCTTAACAAACTTTTAAAACGTTCTTTTTTGACCATATGCACCATATGCGCATTCACAGACATCATAAATATGATAAACTAACATACCTTCTGCCTGCTGTCAGCCAGGTGCTTAAAATTAGTGATGCCTTTTCTGTGTCGAGGCTTCGAAAGAGTGTGTCGAGGAGGATGTTTTTTGAAGCGCGTGCCAAAGCTTCTGTTGATAGAGCAGGCGGTGACGTTTGAAGCTTCGCACTCGGGCCCACGTGACTGATTCAGGAACTGGCTCGTCAGTTTGCTTGTGAATTGAAATAAATTGTAGCAAAACCGCGGCTGTTTTTCGCGTCACATTTTCTTGTTTTAGGATTTTATTGCGAGTGTACTTGTAGTTTATTTGAGCGCCTTTTTTGCGATAGACTACATTTTTCCATGTTTGGCAATATTTTGATATGTTTTAATAAAAAGGTAGATAGATAGATAGATAGATAGATAGATAGATAGATAGATAGATAGATAGATAGATAGATAGATAGATAGATAGATAGATAGATAGATAGATAGAATTCCTCATCTGTGTTGATGAATATAGAACTCTGCATAAACTAAGGAAAGAAAGAAACAAAGAAAAACAAAATGTCTATTTCACATGTATTGTCCACTCGATGTAAATGAAGCACCACTGCGCATGGCTCATGGTTCTAGCGGTGCATCATGAAGCTTCATCTCGCCATCATTACTTTGTGAGATTTATTTATCATTAGAAGTATGGAGGTGGAAGCATCATGTTGATACTGAAGGAGGAACTGGTGCACTTCGTAAAATAGATGGCATCATTGGCAAAGAATATTAACTGGAAATATTGAAGTAACACCTAAAGACAAACAGGAAGTTATAGCTTGAAAATAAATTCAGTTCAATTCAGTTTTTTTTTTTTTGTGGACTAATTAAAAACAAACGTCAAAGTACTTATTTCATATCAATCTGTACCAAATGTACACAGATTCAAAGTGTATAACTGCGACAACAGGTCAGCTGATTGTAAAGACAAGAAACATCTTCCCTGGCATTCCACCAATCCAAGCCTTCTGGCCTCTTTGGTGATGAGCTCTGAGTTTTTGAATAATAAGCAACATGTTGATCAAATCTGCCAGGGCTATGAATAACTTTGTTGGTATGGAAACTTCTGAATTTAAATAGACATATTTTTATCATCCTAAAACATGTATAGTTTATTCTGACATACCGTCTCCAGCAATATGGATAAATATGTTGCCTATATTTCTGGAGACTCTGGCCTAATGGACACAGGTTCTACAAAAAAAACAAACAAAAAAACAATCCAATTATCTGTTTAGCCTATTTTGTTTACAGGATGTGACCTACAGACAGCTGCTGGTTTAGGATAACAAGCAGCCAAACCTATCATCAGGATCTGCTGATAAGGACAGCTGAGGGGTGGATGGTTGTGGGGGTGGGGGTGGCAGAAAGACAACCTTGTCACTGTTCCTAGCTAATGACCCTGCAGCTCACCTTGGAGATGCAGCAGATGTAACAAGCACAACTGTCAGGATAGAAGCACCAATCACAGAGGAATATCACCAAGAGGTTTGATTTGCAGCACCGTCCAAAAGTATTCATTCCACTTATACTTTTTGTTGAAAGAGCCACAAAGAATATTTTCTTAGGATTTTATATGACAGTGCATGAGGTAGAAAGTGGCAGAGGGTTGGGATTTACATTTGTTAAATCGCAGCCGTTCATGTGCAGCCTGTCAAGATTGGCTCCTTCCCAGTCTGAAGTTTTCTTCAGCTTCATCAGTCTTTCCACCAACTTTGACCAGCATTTTTCATAAAGAAGTTAGTTACCTTTATAGTCTGTTCTGAAGATTCACAAAAAACATTGATTTTAAAGGGGCAGTATCAAGTATTTCCCAGGCATGTTGTGCTATATAATGGCACAATCACGTAACTATGTTATCTTCAACTGTTCAAAAAAATAAAGGGGACACTCAAATAACACATCCTAGATCTGAATTAATGAAATATTCTCATTGAATACTTTGTTCTGTACAAAGCTGAATGTGCTGACAACAAAAATCATCAATGGAAATTAAATCTATTAACCAATGGAGGCCTGGATTTGGAGTCACACACAAAATTAAAGTGGAAAAACCAACTACAAGCTGATCCAACTTTGACGCAATGTCCTTAGAACAAGTCGAAATGAGGCTCAGTATTTTGTGTGGTGGATGGTTTCCTGAGGAATCTCCTCCCAGACTTGGACTAAAGCATCTGCCAACTCCTGGACAGTCTCTGGTGCAACGTGACGTTGGTGGATGGAGCGAGACACAATTTTCCAGATGTGCTCAATCGGATTCAGGCCTGGGGAATGGGTGGGCCAGTCCACGACTTCAGTGCCTTCACCTTGCACTGAAACCGTGCAAGGTGAAGGTTCAGTGCAGCACTCCAATCGTGATTGGAGTGCTGACACAGTCTAATCACATGAAGTCTAGCATCATCCTGCATTGGGAGGAACCCAGGGCCAACCGCACCGGCATATGGTCTCACAAGGGGTCTTAGGATCTCATCTCGGTACCTAATGGCAGTCATGCCACCTCTGGCCGTGCCCTCCTATGGCCTCCTCCATGTCTCCTGGTAGTCCCTCCAGCCTCTGGACACTACGGTAACAGACACAGCAAACCTTCTTGACACAGCTCGCATTGATGTGCCATCCTGTATGAGCTGCACTACCTGAGCCACTTGTGTGGGTTGTAGACTCCTGTGCTACCACAAGTGTGAAAGCACCACCAACATTCAAGTGACCAAGACATCAACCAGAAGCATAGGTACTGAGAAGCTTACTGACTTCATAGCTTAGTCCCTTGAAATTGGGCCCCCATCTCTTTACAAATGAATTCAGTAAACTTTATTTAAAAAACACCAAGTCAGAACAAATTTAATTTGTAGGCCCTTTAGAAGATAAGCAGGTCCAGTTCCCATCCTCTTCTTCCCATTTCGAAACAAAAACATTATTTTCATAGAGGTGAAGGTACAACAATATATTTTCAAACCTTTCAGAATCTTTGATGCATCAAACAAAAACCAGTCCATCTTGAATGTAAATTAGCTTCTGTTGCAAAGTTGAGGCAATCCTAATGGAGAATGCAGTTGAAAGATTATTTACTTAAATTACAAGAGATTAACAATGAAGATTTGACCTGGGTCAGATTTGATTGTTTGAAACAAGTCTCATAGTCAAAGCAGTGGGTAACCATGTAGAGTAAAGCCAAACTGCTAGTCACTAGTGGAAAAGGGTCATTTATGTCCAAATTGTCTGTAATATCACATTAAGGTGTGTGGTGGAAAATTACTAGAAGTCTAATCACATGAGGTCTGATCATGTTATATGAAATGCTTGTGAACTCTCACCAAAAAAACTATTTGGGTTACATGTAGAAGGTTGGAAGTTGTTTTCTACAGATGCATCAGAGCCAGACTGTCTCGCCTCTTGTTTTGAATTCCTTATCCTTGGTATAAAACTCATGTGTTGTCTCTGCCTGGCAGAGCTTTTCACCCAGACCTGCTTCATTATTGATTGTCCTACAAACTCTCTGTATTGTGCACAATATATGAATAAACCTGATTGAGTGATTTCACCTGACAGTGTTTGGTAAAATAGTTTTTTTTCCACAACAGGTGGAACTAAACAAACCTACTTACATTATATTCCACAGTTCCCTTTTAAGACCTCATTTACCTCAGTAGGGTGGAAAGTGTGCACTACTCTCATGCCACCTAAACCTCTGATAGTTTTTGAGATTTCAACAACTAATAAAGCTGTGTGACATTTCCAATGAAAACACTCAAAGAACCCAGGCATTATTGGCTATTTAACCATGTTACATAAATAGAATCTTTATTTCAGGTTGCATATGTTAGAAGGCTTTATTCCAACTTGAACAGCCTTGTGTGATAAACATTTAGTTAGAAGGAAAACTACAACATGAGGACAAACAGAACCAAGACATGTCATTTACTGCTAGAAGTCTTTACTTAGTTTCAACTAATAAAAGATTAAAACAGTTGCTATACATTACACTCACTATACATATTTACATAACTTACAAAGGTACAGTCATGCATACTTTATACAATCTCTGTGTAATACGTCCAAGCATGTTAGAAGGGGTTTAAAACCACGTAGATGGCAGCTGAAATCTCACTATCTACCAGCTACAACGGAGAACAACAGAATATTTAGGTACCAGAAAGAAACACCACAAGTGGATTTACTGACTGGCTCAGTTCCATGTTGTGCACCGGGTCTGCCATGACAGTGAGGCATCCTGAACAAAAGCAGGAAGCTGTTTTAGCTGCAATACATCCTGTACCTTCCTGACTGACTGTCACAAACTGAAATGTTTGCAGTAGGAAAATAAAAGCTGTCTATGTGGAGAACAGAGGGCCGGTGGAGGCAGCAGTGAAGACGGGGCCAGTGTAGAGTCCAGGTCCGTCTGCAGGAACCTGCCAGAAAAAAAAACAGGAACACATCTCAAAACAAGTTCATTGATACATCCAATGCATTTTTACATGACACTGGGTAGTGTTATTAGTCTAATGTTCATGTTATGTTAATATTAAAGTTTCTTTAGGACAAGCAGGAAGTGCTTGGTCCACTATGGCATCTAACTCCAGTTGGCAACTTTATAATCTCCAAGTACATCAAATAGATTGCAATGTTATCTAAATGACTGTTTCAGAACACAATTTAAGTGATATTTATATCATTTTTTAACCATGTCAACTGTTAGAATTCAGCTGCATATGACTTTTTTTCCCACTATGTGGGATTAAAAACAATAACCTAGTTTTAGAACAGTGAAGATTACTTAAATTATTTTTTTTTTACTAAATGCCAGATTACAACGACGTATTGTAGATAGAAAAATGAGTATATTTTCACCAACTGAGAAACTTTCTAGAAAAACTTCCTACAAAAGAGTTTAAGATATTGAAACTTTGCTAGAAAAATCCCTGAAATTTGGAGATTAATGTCAGAATTTTTTTACTTTTGAAAATCAGTATTTTAAATTTTTTTTTTTTTTTTTAGGAAATACATAGAATTCTCAAAGTTTCTGATTTTTTTCTAGCAAATTTATGACTTTTCAAACTCAGAAATTTCCTTGTTTTTTTTATTAAATTTCTGAG